GAATCATGGGAATTACACTGTTGGTGTGGTCTATCTAAATTACCCTCCAAAAAACAAAGAGGTGTAGTCACTATAGTCCACAGCAGTTTGTTGTTGTTTTTTGCAAGTGTGAGCTTGGATTTAAACAGAGACAGATTTTCCCTCTAAATCCCAAACAGCATTGACTTTTTCCCCCTCTCCTTTTGCTTTGCCGGATGAGTGTATTTCCTGGAAATAAGCCCAACAGTACAGTATGTTGCAGATGCATGTAGAGTGAACATGAAGTCATACGTGTCTGGAATATATTAGATTTTACAAAGCACATTGTTCTCATCATTATGATTCCCATCATCCTAATCAGATTATTATAATTAATATAATTGCCTGTGCACTGTTTGTTATCTTTGTATATTGGCATAAATAGGAAATGAGACGCACATGTGGGAGGCCAGTGCTAGAGGTGAAGATTTACCTGGGTACAATTTAAACAAACATCTAAAACCACGAGGAGTCGAACCACAATGACAGCCCCGCCTCCAAAGCATGGATGTCTCTGTGTGGTTAAATAACACGGAGGGATAATTAACTGTGCCTGCACCGTTTTGTCTTTCCCTTTGGATTTTTTTGTTAGTTTTGTTTGTTTCATTTCGGAGGTTTTTGACTATCATTACACATACAAAATTTTTGATTTTATTCACATCTATTATTTAAAGGCCCCATCACTTTTGCTTACTTTTGAACAGTTTTGTATTTATTTAGTTTGCCTAAATTGTTAAAGTTGTTTACTTAGTTTTTCACTTAAATATTTAAAATCAGATTCATTTTCATGATTAAATTGAGTTTAAGTAAGTTTAATTTTTGAAAAAAGAAGACAAAAAGCTAAAGTTTGCTACTTTGTTATTTATTAAAGTCTGAAGGTGGATGCTTCTGGAAACTGGCCAATCATAATAGAGGAGGGGGAAGGCCTTAAAGAGACAGGCACAGGCTTACATTATCACACGTATCAAGGGATCAATTCTAGATTAAAAATCATTTCGTAAATTCAAAAGATGATGGCGCAAAAATCAATATATAACACTGCCATATTATTGGATTGTATTGATACTGGTGAGCATCTACACGGTAACTGACAGTTTTAAGGTTAACAATAAAGAATAGTTTTAGTGCTAAAAATATAAAACCAAATTTTAAAAAATGATTAAAATAGAAATAAAAGAAGAATGCAGTGATTTGCAAATCTTATTAACTGACAAAATGTACAATTTGAAGAAAAATATATGATGCCAGAAACACACTTCAGAGAAGTTGGGGCAGACCCATGTTTAACACTGTGTAGTATCACCTCTTCTTTTAACAGCAGTAAAGCTGCTGCAGCAGTCCTGAGTCTTCTTTGTCATGGTTTTTGTCTCATGATGCTCCAAATGTTTTCAACAGGTAAATGGCCTGAAATGCATGAAGCCCAGTTCACCACCTGGACTCTTACAAAAGCTACAAAAGCCATGCTTTTGTAATAGATACAGTATGTAGTTTGACATGGTCTCCCTTGAAAAAGATTTCATTTGGATGGGACCATATGTTCCTCTAAAACGTGTATATACCATTCAATTCCATGAGCACTAATGCCCCCCCATGCATTCAGCGACACAGGTTTTTTAAGTGTGTGCCAATGACAAGCCGGATGGTCAACATCCAGTTTGTCTGGCCACAGGGTAGGGCTGGGCCATATTATACCGTTCACGGTAATACTGGTATAATGTTAGGAAACGATAGGAAAATGAAATATCGCGATAGAATATGAGTAAAACGCGCATGCGCAGTGCCTTTGTTTTCATACGCACATGGCCGATTGTTGAGTGAAACAAATGAACCAGAATTGGTTTGTAAAAATGGTGCAACTTCAGTGATGTGGAACTGGTTTGGTGTTTGTCCGTCAGATACATGACAAGGCACATTTTTTTGCAGAACATGCAAGCGGCCGTTGTATTTGTCAGATTAAGATGCCCTTAAATCTGGGAGTAATCTGGGTCCTAAACTCCGTATACTTCAGGTCAAACGAACACTGCAGCATCACTGAGAGTTAAAAACTGTCTATATTCTTTAATCTTTAATAAAACGATCAGCATTGCTGCTTTACTAGGTGTAACTATGAAGTTTAACTTCCAGGCATCCATGAAAACAAAATTTATTACATTTAACGGAGTTAGGCGTTAGCAGGAAGCTAGCGGAAGTTAGCTCGCTAGTTTCGCTAGTTACCCAAGCATGATATTGCATGTTCTGACTCAGAAATTTCTGAATAAATTCAAACGTACAGCTCTGCTATCACTTCCAACATAAATGAAGACAGGAAACTAAACAGCAGTGACGTTTGTAGGGTTACTGAAGTTGGGCTAGCTGGTATATAATGATGTGCTACGTGATCGCTAGCCACACAGCTATGTTAGCATAACATAAACAGTGAAGCTGGAGGACGAACACTAACACTTTTCCACTTATAAAAGTTAACGTTCCTGATAGTTAGAGACAAATGCAATCGCATGGCAGGATGCTGTAAACGGACCAAACTTCAGTCAGGAGAACAACTGAGATAATCCATCCACAATACGAGGTTAGTTATTAATATACTGCAACAACATGGGAATAGAGCAGCTGCCAGAGAATTCAACATTAATGAATCAATGGTACAGAAGTGGAGGAAGCAAGAAAAATGAGTTTAATAAAGTTTGATTTATCTGACTGCTTTGTTTCGCTTAATGTGCCTTATAATCCCGTGCACTTATGGTCCGAAAAATACGTACTGCACACTGCAGTTTAATGTTGCAAAGCACCTCTTTTTAACTTCAGTGGATATTATACATGGTTATGCTCAGGATATGTCAGCCCATTTCTACTGGAAATGCCTTTTGGTTAAACTTTCAGCAAGGAATTTGCATTTGCACTGTTACATTTTTATAAAGCTTTAATGTACATAAAAAACAGCTTCTTGTTTAAGTGAAAATAAAAGGAAGGTTGTCTTTTTGCGCTAGTAAAGTTGTGGAGTTGTATTTTGTCTCGCATCAATTATATCGTCAGTTATATCGTTATCGCAAATTTTCAAATATATATCGTGATAAATATTTTTGGCCATATCGCCCTGCTCTACCACAGGGTAGTTTTTTTGCTTTGCATTAATCCATTTTAAATGAGCGTTGGCTCAGAGAAGATGGATTGTATTCACATATTGCATAATAGAGTTTTATTTTGTTTGCCTACAAAGCGGGGTTTTCAGCATGCACAAGCATGTTCCCGTGCAGTCCTCCAAAAACGCAACATCGTGTAGCTAGAATGGGCATAGGTCAAATGCTGATTGGTTGAGAAGTGGGTTGGAACGGGGAAGAGAGCGACAGTTTACCAGGAAAGGGAGAAGTGTGAAGCAACATTAAAGATAAAAAAAAAAAAAAGCATATCACAGGCTCCACCACGCCCAAGATGGGCTTTTATTTTCATTTTCCCAACTTTAAAAGGCTTCATACTAATGTGGAACATTGGTGGTGTTCCCCTTAAAACTCAGATTGCGTTATTGCAGCATTCATTAGTAAGTGCAAAACTTGGCTCATGGCAAGATTTTAGCATTGTACTATTTGGTAATTACATGACTGTTGGTAATGGTTTGTTTTGTCTTTGATTCATCACTTGAAAATTGCTGTTGTACCTCTATTGCTTAAATGTGTCAGGCAGCCTAATGACTCTTTTAGTGGCTTTCATCACTTAATAGCAGCACATTTCCGCTGTTATTTAACTGACACAGCTTTTCATTGCATGTCTTTGTGGCTTCCATGAGACAATAATTGAAAAATTGTGTTGCCAACTCCAGGTAGAGCAAAGAAAGCTGGCTCATAGGAAGCATGTAACATTGTAAGCAGTCCAAGGAAACAAAAGCATCCGGTGTGTGTCCCATCATGCCAACTCTTTTTTTTGAGGCATAGGTTTATTCAGCTTAAAGGTTCCCAGCTAGCTACAAAGGTAGATGGGATGGGGGAAAGTGCCTGTCCACCTTTAAAGACTGTGTTAGAGGGCACTTATCAAACTTACAGTGATCTTTGGTCCCACCGGGTTGGCGCAGTAGGCGGTGGGGTCCTAAACAAATCTGATTTCAGTCTCTGCTTGATATCGTCTGTGCTCTTTCCCCTCTCCTGTGTTAATCCCAATAAAACACACAAAGAAATGGCTAAGAATGAGAATGAATCCAGACTGTGGTATGCCCTCGGTTCATTTAGTTTTGCTAAGCTTTCCAAGCTCGAGGCTTTGGCTATTACATGTCACCATCTGTCTCCTTATGCACATAAGTCTGTGCGTTTTGTATTACATCCTGCCTCACAGTGAACTAAAGCAAATTTAACTTGGAAGAAGACGCAGGATGAAATGTGGTGAGTTTATTTTGTGCCATTTGGTTTTGATTGCACTGGCATGCAGCAAGCAGCCAAACACACCACAGCAGATTAAAAACACCCCTTTGCTTTGAAATAAAGTCTCGTACGTTTTTGTCATGACTGTTTTTTTCTGTTAAACGATTTTCCATTCGGCTGTTTCAAACACGCAAAAAGTCCCTCAGAAGGGGGCAGATGTTAACCAAACCCTGCCCCTAATCCTAGATGAGTCACTGATGACATCGTGGATATTAAGATATTTAGTGCCTTTAATGGCTTTATTGGAAAAAAAGTCCTGCCTGCCAATGATTACTCTGTATTTGGCGTAGCTTTGATTAGCTAATCTTTGAACAGTAACCTCTAATATCCCAGTGGCTGTTAGATTGATGTGTGAAGTGTTGCTGTTCTATTTTGGTGGAAAAAACATGTGACGCTTAGTGGACCTCTAGATATTTATTTGTTATTGTGAAGAAAGCTATTTGAACCAAGGGGAGGGCCAATACCCAGCAGAGACAAATGCAGTAACTTCCTCCAATCCTCTTGTGGACCATGAACCTGCATCTATTTATGTAATTTTCTTGCCTAATTCTTCTTCCTCCTCCTCCTTCTCCTCCTCAGGCGGCCTATAAGCCCTGGCTGTGTGCTCAGTATTTCCCCACCACCCAGCAGTCCTGCCAGAAGAAGGTGCCGTGCCACCAGTACTGCCTGGAGGTCCAGCAGAGCTGTCCGTTCATCCTGCCCGATAACGACGACCTGATCCACGGTGGCAGCCCCAGCTTCATCTGCACAGGTTAATACCCACTTCCTGCCTAGTGCCACTTCGTGTATCCTGGAGATGAGTGCAGATTGTGTGTTTGCATGCGTGGGTGTTCATGGGGCCTTGTATCCTCTTCACAGAAAAACCTTCTAATTTAATTTATGCTAGTGAATAGCTGGTGAGTAGCATTTTGCAAAAGGACAGACAGTAATAAATCATCCAGTGTGTGTTTCTCTGTATTGACTGAATGGTGTCTCACCAGGAAAACAGTGAAGTGGTTCTAAAGGCTTTCTGATGACATCTAGTGGTGTTTTTGAGCACTGCAGTCCTCATGCAAGGACGTTTTAACAACACATTTAGTCCTTCTCTCAGTATCTGCTGCAGATTTGTTTTATTCTGTAATAAAGGTCAGCTTCACGGGTTACCTGGATGAGACTGACAACATAAAACATTTCAACACCTAAAGGCTTAGAGGTTTGTGCATGCTTATAATGGATGGAAGTCATGATTTTATTTTTAGTCACCTATTTTTAGTCGCTGTGTGATGATTCTATGAAAGTATACTGGGGTTAAACAGCTGAAAACAATTCCTGCAGTGCTAAATGAGACTGTTGGGTCAACTACAACCAGATTCCAAAGTAGTTGGAATGCTGCGTGAAACTAATTAAAAACAGAAAGCAGTTATTTGCTTTTAAAGCCTGTATTGAACTGAAAATTATACAAAACACATCTTATAAAATTATAGCAAAAAGTTTTCAAAACATTGTGACAGAGGCATGTTTCCCTTTTGACAGCAAATTTTAATTAAGTGTCGTCAAAATTTAGGCATTGAAATTATTTTAGTTTTAGTTGACTAAATATAGATAGACTAGATAGTAAAATAGAAAGTCTGAAAGTTAAAGTGTTAAAGCGTCTGCTCTTCTCTTCCTCCCAAGCGCTGACATTTGTCTCGTTTTCTACCTGCTCCTGGGGGGAGATCAGATGTGCGTATTTGACCTGCACAAGAGTATCCAGAGTATTTAAAAAAAAAAAAAAAGAGTATCCAGAGTATTTTAATCTTGTTTTTATTAGTTGATGAAGGTGTCGATGCATTTCATCGTGCGTTAGTTTTTATTCAATTATCGTCTTGTTTCTGTTATAAAAAAAAAGGTTACTGAGGAAAACTGTGATGTGAATTATTTTTGGTTTTTACAAAGCTTTTCCTGCCCTTTTGGTGTCCCTTTCCAACTATTTTTAAAAAATACCATTTGGGCATTAGCACTCTCACCTCTGAGCAGGAACGTTTGACGTCCTGTTTGACCGTATTCCCTCCTGTGAGTCTCCGTGGATTTCCAAAGTTCAAAGACATGCATGTTAGGTTAATGTGAGTGAATTAAAGAATTCCTGATGGTTATAATAAGTTAGTTTGCCATAAATTTAAAAATATGCCATCAAAAATATTAATGGCTGCTGTAAGCAAACTGTGAGCCACAGTGAAATACTTTGTGAAGAGAAAGGGGCAGGTGCATGCAGGTGTTCTAGAATCAACAGGAAGTTAGTCATGCTAGTTTAGCGCCTGATTTGTGTCGGTAACAGTCAGCAGTTTCAGCAACACGGCTGTCTGCGGCGCTCAGCTTTTGGAGCCAATTAAGTGACTTCCAATCCTCTTTGCCTGCCCTTCCATGTTTTGCTTTTAAAAACTGCTTTAACATCTCAGCTAAATGTAAACACCCAGCGGTGATACTCACATTTTTAGTGTGGCTTGCACTATTCAAACATATCATTATCCTAGAACTCCTTCGTAGCTACAATCTAGATATTATTAAATTTCTAAGCCATCTTCAGTGTTGAACTAATCCAGCGCTACACTATATTGCCAAAAGTTGTCTGCCATCAAACGCATATGAACTTGAGTGACATCCCAGTTTAATATGATGTCACCCAGCTTCAACTATTCTGGGAAGGTTTTCTATAAAGTTTAGGAGTGTTTATAAGAATTTTTGACCATTTTCCCAGAAGCATATTTGTGAGGTCAGATACTGATGTTGACCTGGCTCAGTTTCCACTCTGTTTCGTTCCAAATGTGTCCTGTCAGGTTGAGGTCAGGATTCTGTGCAGGCCAGTCAAGTTCTTCTACACGAAACTGACTCATTCATGTCTTTGTGGACCTTGCTCTGTCTACGGGTGTGCAGTCATATCCTATCACGGTACCACGCTAGAATTTACTGAGCTCCTGAGAGCGACCCATTCATTTATGTATGTTTGTAGAAGCAGTCTGCATGGCTAGGTGCTTGATTTTATACATCTATGGCCATGGAAGGGATCGGAACACCTGATTTAAATGATTTGGATGGGTGAGTGAATCGGCAATTTAGTGTAGTCGTCCATAAACTTATTGGTGCATTGCAACCAGGAGCTGCTAAAATCAAATTGGCAGTGCTCTTTGCAACAACAAATAGGGCTCACATTATGGCATAAATCTATGTGAATCCACCATAATCCAGTCTGCATCTTTCAATGCACCATGGGAGCAGATCCAAAAAGATAATCCCCCAGTTCAAAGTGACAAAAAGCTACTTGTGGTACACTTTAAATATTTTACCTACACTACCAGCATGGCAACAAAAGCAGCATGACCTCTTACATTAGTGGAATATCGACGTAGGAAGGGTCGATACCTCAGGTTGGAAGGGTTGCAGGTGGAAATGAGTCGTACCAATTTAAGATTCAACAGCAAACTCAAACCTAATCGTTTTCATAATGTCTCTTTTTTTTTTTCTTATACTTAGTCAGTCATTTGTTTAATAGTAATTTAACATTATATAATTCACATATAAAACTATGAATTGTAATTTTAAATGGTTTAAAAGCATGCAGAATAGCATATGTAGGCAAGTATATTTCTCCTTTTTTTTTTTTTTTTTTTTTTTTCCCGCCTTTCCCGTTTGGCTCTTTTGCCATCAGAATTGTTGTCTAAAGGCAAAGAAAGATGCCCAACGGATTTACTTTACCAAATTGACCATCCCAGCCTTGCCGTAATGGTCCATTTGATTCACCTTTTATTGTTTATTTTATTTTCACTTACTGAATACGGGACAGACGAAGGGAAAGAAGGGGAGAAAGAAAGAGGGAAAGAGAAACAGCTGAGAAGAGGGACGGGGGAGAAGGGCAAAAGACAAAAACCAACAGAATGGGCAGCAAAAAAAAAAAATGCATATATCAATCACCTGGATCACCTGCTGAGAAAGAAAAAAGAAAACAAGCAGAAGAGAACAAGAGTAATAGAATAAACAACATCACAATGATATATGGGAATATGACAGTAAATACTAAATATTAAACATTATTGTGCAGCACATAAGATCAACAGAACACAGTGTGCTTTGAGGTAGGAGCCAAAAAGGGTGTAGTTTGTGGGTGTGATCACCCGTGTGTACACCTGTGAGCATGGACGCGCTTGTTTTTTTTTTTTTAAAGGTTCATAATGTCTCTTAAAGATGATAAAAGGGTAAATCATCTCACTTGTCACAGGTGCAACAGACGAGTCAGGTGAGGTGTCAGTCCACACAGAGAAGGGGTCTAATCCAGCAGCCCCATCAGTCCTCAATCTGCTCTCATCATCAATCACATGCTCTCTACTTATGCTTTGCTTTAGTTAGAACTAAGTGAGCTTCTCTCTCTGCAGTTTAAGCTTCTCCGTGCAGATGATCACAGCAGCCATGGTGTTTTTGTTCTTTCTTTCTTTTTTTTTTGTAAACATGCTGGCAAGTTAAGACTTCCAGAACCATCAACTGATGCAGCAATGCGCTCCCTCTGTGCCGTGGTGAGCTCTAATTGGAGTTCATTTGAGGGTCACCGTGTCTGGTTGTGATTAGAGCCACACGCTGAGGTCTAGTGCGTTTGATCCGTTTACCGAGGCAGCAGATGAGCAACAAGGTGGCTGGTGTCAGACAGATCATTGTCGTTTGTGCTCCATGTGAGCTCTTTATTGCACGTAAGGTTATTTTTTTCAACTTTTTAAAATTATTATTACTAAGCAACTTCACAGAAAGCCACCATAGAGATGTATCAGATTTAGCTAAAAAGGCTAAATGGAAAACAGTCTCTCTTTACTCTTTTTGTCTCTTTGTATTAGATAATTATTGTTAACGTTTGACACATACTGATAACATTACCTACAGCCTCTAAAAATAACCAAAACATGCTGAGGACTCTCTTTGCATCCTTGAGCAATCAATGAAAATTTCAGTTCATGTCCTTCTCAGCTAAAAAACCTTTTTTCGCATCTTGTTGTCACGTTGGTTTTTCTTCATGGATCCAGTATTGATGGGTGAAGCTGAACTGTCTGATATCACTGGCTGCAGTTGGAAAATCGCAGATATTAATGGATTAGTGAGGTATGCTGACCCTAATGCACAAATTTGACCCCCTTTTACATTGGCTGGTTCATTATAACTTGGGCTGAGCACATTACTTTTATTGCAGGAGCCCTACAATAAGCCGCAAATGCGTAAATATGTTTTGCACAGTTGGAATAACAGCAAACAAAATTGTTCATTTTGTCAGCTCATTTATCACCAAGAAAAATCAATCAGCGTAATTCATTTGTCTTTGATTTGGAACGACGACGAACTCCTTCACCAGGCTACAAGACGGCGTGAGACTGGTTAGCTTAAATGTTTAAAAGTCACATTAATGATGTTAAAATGTGTTAGTGTCACATCTTGAAGCAATTATGGTGTCACGACTTTAGTTTCTTGTGTTTCAAAGTTTGCAAAGCACTGAATGCACTTTTACGTTTAATGGCATATTGTTACGTGTCTGCAGGCTGCATGTTTTCTTTCCCTCCCCTTTTGTTTGCCGGGGTGTAACACATATTTATGTATTTATGAGCCATTTCTTATTTTTGGTTTGGTTCCTTCTGGCCTTCCATATGAGCGTGTGAACAGCTGATTGTGCAGCAAAACAGTGGAATACAGAACACAGTTGTTATATCTGTAATATCTGCTGTGAGAACACCAAACTACCAGTGACCCCCTGTTATAAATACAAGTGCACAGCAGGGGAACCTCAGCTTTTTCATCCAGTGTCTTCTCTTTCTCAGGTCTCTTGGGAAACCATCCATCAGACAGTGAGGCGGAGTGCTGCGACGTCCGATGGGACTCCAAAATGGACAACCCTTCAGGGGGCACGCTAAAAAGAACTGCTTCTTCCTGCCAGCCCGTGGGGGCTTCGGTCACTTCCGCCGCCACCCCGAGACTGTGCAGCGGGCGACTGAAGATCTGCCTGCTGGCCCTTGTCCTCCTACACACTGTCATTATCATTTCAGCCTCCCATAATTCTTCGTTGGTGGGCGTGGCTGCCATTTTCTCGCCAGAGGAAAGTGCTTCTAATGAGGAGTGAACCTTGGGGTTTAATCAGGGCTGGAGCTTGCGTAGAGCGATTGTTGACAGGGAGGAAGACGAAGGCTTGTCATGGCTGCCAGGGACACAGCTGGTGAGATGTGCTGGAAATGCCTCCACAAGCCTGCTGCCGATGAACCGCCAACCACAGGAAGTGGGAAGGTTTTAATTGGAGCGGAGGGTGCTGGAATTGGACACCAACTGGAGAGAGATGTTTGAGAACCACCACCCCTAAAAGAACTGACCTCTTGCCACTTGAAACCTGCTCATTGTTTCTATTCCATCCAAATGTTTTCTAGCATATTGTCCCCCCCCCC